GGTGCTTATTGGCTTGTGTGTTGTTGCCTTAGCACCCTGTACTTCCTTACTACATTACCTGGCTTCGTGGACCCCGTTTCCCACCGTTAGGTGCTTATTGGCTTGTGTGTTGTTGCCTTAGCACCCTGTACTTCCTTACTACATCCTGGCTTCGTGGACCCCGTTTCCCACCCCACTCTGCCCTCTAATCCATGCCCAGACAGTCACCAGGCTCTTTCTCTATAATCACACTGAACTTCTTTCTGTTCTTGCAGTTGGAGGGTCTGATAAGAGGTTAAGAGCAGGAGTTGTGCTATCTGCTACTAGCTGTGTAACCTCAGGCCACTGACAATTTTTCTCAGCTTCAGTTTCCCAACCTATAAAAAAGGGATATTAATGGTATACCTACTTCATGGGATTACTGCAAGGATTAAATGAGATTCTTAATGGAAAGCAATTAGTAAAGCACTCGGCATGAAGTGAGTGTGCAGTAAATAATAACAGTCATCGTCATTATCATCATGATTCCTTGANTTCATGACTGTGAACTGAGCACAGCTTGTGCCCACCCCAGGGATTCCTGGACCAGTTACTGATCTTGGCATCTGTCTCCAGCCTGAAATCTTACGTGTTTTCTTTCTGGAATTATTCATTAAAATGAGGCTCACTGTTCTCTCATGTTTACCAGGTCAGATGTGTTTGTCATTGGGCTCAGTTCTCACTAATGTAAGGGGCCATTTAGTTAAAATGTGTTAGACTGGCAGGTATACTAGACCCCATTTTTCCCATGGGGCAACAATATTCGAAAGTGACTACAATCCTTTCCAATAGACAGATTTTACCCTCTTGGGCTCAGTGATGTTTTTAAGTTACCCCCACTGCCATGGCTTCCTCTGACAAGCTCAGCCCAGGGGACCCAAGCTAAAAGTCCTTCCTCATCTCCTGTTACTCAGTCCCAGATTCCCGGGGTCCACTACAAGTTTATCGGGGAATAATTCACTCCAGAATACTATCAGCAAAGTGGAGTTGCTTATTGTACAAATTGAATGTCATATAAAAATCTTTAAGAAATTTATCCTGGCTGCTTCAAAAGTATAGAAGAATGGTTATTTTAGAGATTATAGTTAAAATGGCTCTGTGACACATCACAGTATGATGGCCCCTTTCATGAAACTAACTCTGGGCATCATGCACATCCTGGCTTCGTGGACCCCGTTTCCCACCCCACTCTGCCCTCTAATCCATGCCCAGAC